GTTGTTGTTGTTGTTGTTGTTGTTGTTGTTGTTGTTGTTGTTGTTGTTGTCGTTGCCGTTGCCGTTGCCGTTGCCGTTGCCGCTGCCGTTGCCGTTGTTGTTGTGGTGCTGGTGGTGGAGCAACTCGATAGCAAAGCGGTGGGTTTTCGATTCTGTACGAGGTCCGTTGGTGGGAGAGAGTGGCGAGAACGATGTCCCAGTTCTCCTCCTCGCTATGATCGTGCAACACCTTCCCGGATGCATGTGGTTACACATCCACCTTCCCACGAGCACAACGACACAAACTTCTTGCAACACCTCCGTCCCCCCTCCCACTTGTTTATTTCGCCACACACAGCTGATACTGCTAGCCAGAGGCTACAAGAGCCTCGAGGAGGACTCCCGCTGCCAGGCCGTAGAAGGGGAGCGCCTGTTGGTGGAATCGGAATCCAAGACCAAGCTTCTCCAGGAACAGGTGCTCCGTGGATGTGACTATTAATACACATGGTATTATGTACCAGTACCGTGCAGCAAGCATGCTTCCAAGCGTACCACCTGGTCGTGCGGCGGCGGATGCTCACCTTTTGTACGAGTAATGGCACAGCATCGTTTTTTTTTTTTTTGTTGTGTAGTTGGTGGGTTCTCCAAGAGAGATGTGATGATGACGTCGGCTTCCGATCAAAGATGTTTTTTTTGTTATGCTGCGTCTGAAGGGTTATCTGCCTCCCTGTTCGCGAAATGTGCTCTGTTCTGGTGTTAGAAATAGAACTGGCGGATCAAGGGACCCTCAGATGGGGCTGATTCGTGTCTGGATCAAGCAATGTGGGCTGGTGCACATACTTTTGTACCGCCGGGAGTGGGTACATATTTTTGTCTTGCTCCCCCCCACCTCTTGTCTGCGCCAGCCCTAGGTCCCTTTGTCCTTATAGACTGAATGACTCAGCCAATGCCGGTGCGTTGCTCATTAGTTTTACCTTCAATTTTTTTCGCTGTGACTTTTCCAGGCTAGGGAAGAGGAGAGGCGACATCGCTTGACCAAGGCCGCCGTCAAGGACGGGGAGGCGTCGCTTCGAAGGGTAAGCGAGGACGCTTTTATGAAGTATTTTGATCGTTTACATCTCTCTTGTCACCTGTCGCACCCCCTCCATCTCTCTCACTGCTGTCTCCCTCTGGTCCCTCTCCCTCCTGCCCCTCCTCCATTCTAACCCCGTCCCAAGTTTAGCGCGGCGCTCTCTCTGTTTGCTTTGATACTGATCATCCACATTCGTCAAACATTTGCCTCATGGGACAGACTTGGTCCAAACATACCCCAACAAGGAAACGTTCTTACGACGACGTGGGACAGACTTTTTAGTCTAAATTACCCAACAAGCGTATGGTATGCCGTTAACACTCTTACGACACGCCGCACACTACACAACAAAGCAGGCCGAGCAAAGGCTGGCGAAAGTGTCGGAGGAGGCCGCGGAAGCTCAGGCCGCCGCTGGAGCCGCCAAAGCCGCGGCGCGGGAGTTGGTGGAGAAGGCGGCATCGGCAGACAGGGAGGCGGGGATAAGAAGGGAGGAGTTGGCCGGGTTCAAGGCGGAGTTGGAGCGGTTGAGGGCCGCCTGTGCCGAGAAGGTGAGTCTTAGGGGAGGGTGGTACCTGTTGCTAGCGGATTGAGTGCATGCTTGTAGTGCGGCGGCACGCATGTGCGTGAGAGACGTTGTGGCTTCTTTGCCTTGCGGAAGCGATTGGTACCTTTATTTGTACATTCACGTCTCCGCATGATGGGTGTTGGTTGTTGAAGCGTGAGAGCGCCAGCAACAACGGTACGTCTGCTTGAATTGTACGGCAGTGCTATCAGAGAGGAAGCGCGTTTTCGGAACACGTTTCTTCCTGCTTCTTGTTTTTTCGCAGGACGTGGAGTTGGCGAACAAGTCCAAGGAGCTGGGCCAGCAGGCTGGGATAATCGACTACATCAACAAGCTCAGCAGCAACGCGGCTGCCGAGGCTGCTGCCGCTGGAGGCAACAAGCCTGTAATTGCCAATCTCGTGCCGGCTCAAGCGGTTACCCTGCACGGTAGCAGCGGTGGTAGCGGAGATTCAGTCACGCAGGTTCCGGCTTCTGCGGGACACCCGCATGCTGTCTAGCCGGGCTCTGGCAAAAGGCCTCACTTTCGTATGTATGGGCAATTTCTTGTTGGCCCTCATGTGTACCAGAGCAATTCGGAGGTATATGTATATATTTTTTTTCTCCCATCATTGGACTCTGTCGTCTGCCCCTCTGGCCCCCATCCTCCACTTCTACTAGCTAGACGACCCAACCGGGGTCACATAGGAGGGGGGGGCTGGACCCCCTCCTGTGGTTCCTGCCTGTGGTATTTTTATCGCGAGAAGGGTGCAGCAATCCCTTCCCTCGCGACTTACGAAGTCGATTATGGTTTACTAACAACGAGCTTTGCAGCGCGTCGCTTTCATCCTAGACCAGGATTTATTTAGTGAGAAAAAAACTCACTCTGCCGGGGCTCGAACCCATGACCTGGCCCTTAGCAGGCTGCGAGATTACCCACTTGACCACCGGGGCGACCGGTGTATGTTCCTAGGCGAAAGGTTGACACGGTAGGTCAACACAGACTGGGTACGAGATCTCCCGTGTTATACGAATTGTCTTCGGCACAGCAGAACCGCGCAGGTACTCAAGCACCGTATTCGAAAATTATCATTGTTTCTCTGTTTTGTAAGACGTAAATACAAGAGGGGGTGAAACTTGTATACGGCGGTAAGATCGAGGGTTGGGATGGAGTGTACAGAAGAAAGTGCACAGCTGATATTCCAACGTGTTTGTAGTTGGGCAACCAGGGTGGTACAGAATGAGAAAGTTTTTTTGGTGTGTTTTTGTGTTTTATGCCTGCCTCTGGGCGCCAGTCTTCCCCGTTCGGTATGAATGCTTGACACACCAGCCGGGGCCACACGAGAGGAAAGGAGGAAAAACGCCACAATTCTTCTTTTCGAAGGAAACCACCGGAGTTCTCATTTCTTACGTCCTCCGGGGGGTTGAACGAAACCACCTTCTTCTGCTCAACCGCACGCTTTCTCAGCCACGCTACATGAGAGTATGTCGATTGGCATGTACTCTCGCCTTTCGGCTTTGTAGCAGAACAGACAAGGTTTTAACTGCGTAGTACCTTGCCTTGACTCTGACGGCTCGCCTTGGGGGGAGCGCAGGGAGCAGCGGTTGGCAACAGTCAGTCTCGATGGTGGAGAAATCCTCCTTCTCTAAGTTTTTTCGTACTCAAACACACGGACAGGTGTATGCGTCCTTTTACAGTGAGAGCAAGTCTTCTCTGCCCTGCATTCGCTCTGTTGTTGTTGCTGCTGCCGTGTGCACGCACGCGCGCGCGCCTGTCGAAGAAAGATCCAGGAAGTTGTGGGGCTGTGTGGCAGACCCTTTCACCCCGTACCCGTGACACGGCACTCGCACCTTCCGCCAGCAACACCGCTCGCCATCGAGGCCAGTCTCCACTGGCGCAATTCCGCTACCACCATGGTTATATCACCACCTTTGGGAACAAAACTCTCTAATCATGTTACAACTACACTTCCCAATGGGAGATCCTATCATGTCATCACGAGGATCATATCTAGTGGTATTGACACAAAAAAACTGAAGAAATGGCTGCTATGAAGGGAGGGCGGTGGACTGTTGCTGCGCCACACGGCACAATCGCGCGCACATGCCCATGAGCTGCAGCAGGCTGTTCACCCCGTCCGCAACTCTCACGTGGGTGAACCCGACCTGCGCGTGAGAAAGAAACAAACAGAAAAAAACGGAAAAGGCAGGTGGACATAAACAACAGCACTACAAAGTTTCCCGACTGTGGGGGTGCGCACCGATCAGCTGAGCACGGATGAAAACCAAAAAGAGATGTAAACAAGGGGGGGACAAAAGGATAATGTTATGGCAGAAATAACGGCCGACTTCAAAGTCTTGGTAGTTGCACGTGAATGCAGGCACACCAAAAAGATCAGGGTCTTGCTTGTAGGTATCGCCCGCAAAACGAAAGCTAATGTGATTGCCGGATGGAGGCTGAGCGTATTTATTCCCCGCCACGGTCAAGCATAGCCTGCGTCAAGACTCGAGTGCCCGATGCTTGCATGCAACAACTAGACCATCGAAGGAAACACACATACTACTGTAGATGAATGTCTGCAGGAGGTCAGGCCAATTCTCGGTTCTCCCGCGCAATACAGGTGGGCTAATGTAGAGCCGCCGCGGGGTGCATAACGAGCCTATTCCAAGACCAACACCTCACTCACCTCTTTGATCATCTCTAACTTGGCCCCCTCGTTGACTTCCAGCTGGTTCTTGCACACCTGCCGAGGCATCGGCGAAAAAAAGAACAAAAAAAGCGGGGAAGTGAGCGTCACGTCCCCCCCCCCCACCACACACATACGGAAGGAAAATCAACATTCGCACAGCGCGAATTCAAGGACGTGCTTCGAAAACTATCAATCACGCTCGCTCATCGTCGGAGTGGGGTATGTTTTGGCTAAAGATGTGAACAGTGACGTCAGTGCGTCAGATGGCCTGTCCGAGATCTGCGGTACATCCGTTTCGGGTGTTACCACAGGTTTGAGCCGGTGGGCACGCTCATCCCGCGTACAAGGAACAGCGGGGCCGACTGCCCCGCCTTCCCTCACAGCCCGTACCGCACACCATTCGGACACTCTCAAAACAAGGACTGTGATAGAACCCTCACAGCGCGAAATTGGAGACAAGCCGTTCCATGAAAAAGGTACACCATTTTATGCACGAAGCGAAAATCACAAAACGCCGTGTTTGTCACGGCGCTCCCGTGGAGCGCGTGTATGGACGGAACATTGGGTGCAGGAGAAAGCGACCAATGCTACTATAGGTCAACTCTACACGTAGGGCCGAAACCAAACAGGGTCATAGGGGGCAAACAGAGTGCCATGCCACGTACGAAAATCGAGACGTAACACAGTTCCTACACCCTCGCCGACATCGTCAATGACCACGTCTCGTCCACGTCCCGCGAACCGTTTTTGCCCCGTGTCTTACTTGTGCGAACGACCACACTTATGTATTCTGTAGTCGAAGAAAAAAAATAAGGCAACGTAACGAGATAAGAAAAAAGAAGGCACACAGAGTGAACCGGCAGGAGTGTACGCGAAAATACACACACGCAAACAAAAAACCGACCTATTAACAAATACGCTTCCAACTTAGACCAAACAAATGGTGCCACCAAGAACATAAACCCAAGACAATCCGAACATAAACGAAAAAAAAAACTCGCCATCCCCCCGAGAACTCAATAAACCACCCGGAATAAAGGACGCCGACAAAACAACCATGCAACGAGCAAGCAGCAGCAGCGGCAGCAGCGGCAGCAGGCCATACTTACCCTGAAGACCGTCCCGATGATGTCGTTCGACGAGTACCCCGTGTCGTAGAGCGCCTTCATGCGACGGCTGGCCTTGGCGCAGTCCCCTTCGACACAGCTCTTGAGGATCTCCAGCACAACCCCTGGATGCGGCTGGTCGCAGACCTGTGTGTGGATGTGTGTGGATGTGTGGGGGTGGGCGTGTGTTCGCCGTCACTTGCTTTGTTTTCGCTGTTGTTGGTGTTGCTGGAAAAAATTGTTTGGCCAAATGCCTTCCTTCGTTAAACGTGTGGTGGCAAAAAGATGGTACGAACCGTCATTCTTACTCTTTGTGAAAACATGTCCACCATGCTCTCTTTTTTTATCCAACTTGAAAACAACTACTGCTTCGAGCTGATAACAGCAGTATCAACGAATAGCCTCAAGTCTAAAACAGCTACCTTACAAAACCTACTTTAAAAACGTTGGCCTGGTCGACGTGGCCGAACCCCGAGTGCGTGGCCTGGAGGTTGTTGAGCGCGTTCCGCATGTCCCCCTCCGCGGTGAATATGATCGCCTCCAGGCCGTCGGGCGAGTAGCTCACCTGCTCGGCCTCGCACACTTGCTGAAGTCTCAGTAAGATCTGCGGCGTTGTCGTGGCCGGTGTATATGGAAGGTAGTTTTGTTTTGCATGCCTTAGCTGTTAGACTGTTGACCACGCATCCTCGAGAGGACGGCGCACTAGGGGGGGGATACTGTTTTGATTTTGCTTAGAGCGGGGGGGGAGTACAGAGCAGATTCGTGTTGAAAAACGAAAGCAGCGAAAGATCAGCCGCACCACGCACAAGCTAACTCGAACTGCTTGTGCGGTTCCTCCCAAGTGGTTTCTGAAACCATTACCAACACCGCCAACACAAAAACAACAGCAATGACGACAACAACGAAAAAAAAAGAAAAAACTTGCCTCCTCTTCCGAGAGCCTCGAGAACCGCAGGATGGCGCATCTGCTCTGGATGGGCTCGATGATCTTCGTAGACACGTTGCAGGCTAGCGCGAACCTCGTCGTGTGGGAGTAAATCTCCATCGTCCTTCGCGACGACGGGGGCACGTGCACACCAACAAACACAGACAAGACGGGCAGTATCATAAAAGTACAGGAAAGCAACAGGTTAGGACGCCATGGACATTGTGCTGGCAGTACAAGCACAGGAAAGCAAAATGTTAGGACGCCGTGGACATCGTTCTGACAGTACAAGCACAGGAAACAAAAGGTTGGGACGCCATGGACAATGTTCTGCACATGGCACAATTACCTTCTCGACACATGCCTGCCGAGACCGCGAAGCCGAAAGGAAGATCAAGGGGACACACACGATGCAAAGTCAGCCTGCCGTCGGGCTGACGATCCCAATCAAGTAAATCCGAACGACAAACCCCGCAGTACGGCGGTCTCGCGCCGCCCACCTACACCTTTCACGCACCTTCTCAACGCCTGTTGCGCCGACGCTGTCATCGAGTCCGCCTCGTCAAGGATGATGACCTTGTGCTGCCCTGGTGGGAGGGTGACCTGTTCATATTACGGAGCCCCGCGGGTGTGTGTGTGTGTGTGTGATAGGTGAGGGTTGCCTGTCCAAGTTGCGGGAGCCACGAGCGCGCACAGCAGTGTGCGCGTGTATGTTTGTGTTTTTATTTTTAGCATCGACCGCGCTAACCGGCTGACCAATGAAAACAAAGACGTCAGTGTCAGCGGGAAAAATCAAGGTCCCTGGAAGGGCGCCGAAATTCGAAAAGTGCGCAAATCGAATTTTCCGCAATTTCTCATTTGTGTTTGCGTGTCTATTTGAACTATGTAGCATCGACTGCGCTAAGCGGCTTACCAATGAAACGATGTCTGTTCTGTGGCGAGATAAAATACCCGAACACGCTTACTACTCAAAAATGTTTATGTGTATGTGAAGTTGCTGTTCATTCTTCTGGCACGGGTTGCGCTAGTTGGTTTGCCAAGAAAATGCGCTAAGTCGTGTCTGCACGTCCTTCTTAAGGAAGCGTCGAAGGTCGCCGACCGGTTGACGAATGGAAAGACGTCAGCCTCGACGGGAACAACACAACAAAGAACGACCAGGGATGGCTGTGCGTGTATGTGGGACGTGTCTGCTCTTAGCTCACACCCGGTCCACGCCCACCCCCCTCGCGTCCCTGCGCACCTTCTTCTGTGTGAACATCTTGATGGTGTTGCGTACAACCTCGATCCCGCGGGAGTCCGATGCGTTCAGCTCTAACACGGCGTTCTGGTCGGGGGGGGAGGGAGGGGGGGGGATACGCATGATCATGCTTGCCGTAAGTTCGACCAAGACATCACATGGCCCTCCTGCGGAGCCGAGCCGATCATTTCTGCCCTTGGCAACAAAGCTCGATAGCGGGAATACCCAATTGTTTCATGGCTTCCTAGACCGCGCCATGAAGACTATTCCTTTCAAGACGGAAGCACGCCCCCTTCCCAGCCCCGAGATGCAGCTCTGGCCAACACGTTTTACCGTAGGCGTGTGCTTCACGGATTCGCCAGGACTTTACAAAGGGAGCATGGGAGAGACGTTTTCAAGACTCGAAAGTTTTTGGAGGTTGCCTCCGCAGGGATTGCGAGAGACCGGTACAGTGGTGGGCGTCCCATAAAAGTGCCGTGATGTGCCCGCCAGATTCACCGGCACGACACCGGGCAACCGGCGTTATTCAGAGAACTCAGACAACCTGAAATACTCCATCCATGGCATGCGATTCCACCGGCAGTATTCCGTGGGCTGTGGTTCTATTCAACCGGCACTGTGAGGGACCCTCGCATGCTTTTCGCCAAAAAAAATAATGTTGCAGACTTGCCATTGCTACAGTATCTACACATGCTGTCTTCGTTTTTGTCTCACCGCGTAGGCATCACCGAGCATGGTGTGCGCTAGGGCGTGGACGCTCGTCGTCTTCCCCGTCCCTGGGGGGCCGCAGATGATGACGTTGGGCATGTTCCCTTCCTCGGCGATCACTTTCAGCCGGTCCAACGTCTGCTCGTTCCCGACCACCTGTTGTTGTTGGTGGTGGTGGTTTCTGGTGTCGATTATGTTGTTATTGTTCGGCCGCGAGGTCGCCGGAAAGCTCGCCAGCTTGGCACGCTCACACCGTGCCCGTGTCCGTGAAAATATCGAATGACATCATCCGGTGCCCGAGATTCGTTGCACACGCCGGGGGAGTGGACTCACCGTTCCCCTTGCGGACAACGCAAAGCAATCGGGGCCCTGTTATTTAACTTGGCGGCATGAATAGCCCCTGGCTTTAGAACGAGGTCGAAGAACGTCTTTAGAACGAGGCCGAAGAATGGCTTCCTGATATAGGCATATCTACACGCGCGACCATGTCTGTAGTCAGTCGCGGTGCGGTGTGGGAGAGCTTTCTGCTCGTCTTCTGGTCAACACACCTATATATGAATGCATACAACTTATGCTGCTGATCAAGACATCGGTTGTTAGCCTCTTCCCCAGACTGCGACTACCTCAGGTTTCGGGATTGCCTTCCAAGCTCCCACGATTGCTTTGCTACCCATAGGTCACCCATACTGCTGTACGTGAACCAATTGAGTCATGATTTTGAACGCAAGAGCACGCGCGTGGCGCAACACCGACTTTCCGCCGTCCCCCCGACACCGTCACCCAAGCGTCGCCGAAGGAATTGCCCACAGCAGTGTCTACTGAAAAAACAATACTTCTTTGCGGCAACCAAGCGCAGTGTGAAGAACGATCCGCTAACGTCTTAGCGCATGAGTGTAGTCCTGACCGCCGCATGAACGCCGAATGCAACCTTTCGTTCCCCCACCCTATTCGCACGGCGATGTGCTGCCTATGGTCCTTTGAGAGCCACGCTGTAACGGTACAACACTGCTGCTGCGTGCACAAGGGAGCGCGGATTTGAATTTCAAATTTTGCGGACAAGATCAGAATGGTGTCACACACAAAAAGTACGGGAGGTGCCAGTCTCTCAACCGAGCGAGAAAGCCTAACCACCAAAACGAGTAAAAACTATAGTAGGGGATAATTGACTGCTGTGGCACATGCTCTCCCTTGCTCGACACGTGTGCTACACAGCTGTCGGTGAATACGTGCCGCCTTGATCGATCTGCTCCGTCGATGGAAGCCCCTGTTCTGCACTGCACAGATGTATCCGTGTGCCTCTATCCCTCCCTGTCTCTCTGTCTCTCTCTCTCACATCGTCGAGCTTGTTCGGCCGGTACTTCTCCACCCATGGCATCTCGAAGTCATCAGTAGTAGAAGCCATCGCGTCCCCTTAGTGCACACGAGCGATGATACGGTATGCTCCATGCATCGGCGCACATTGGCGCGGAGCGCGACCGAGGGGGGGGGGGGGGG